TCGAAGTGCCCAATATAAGACAGCAGAGGCCCTGACCTGCCATACAGCAAAACCATAGGTTCAACAGCAACAAACAACCCGACTGAAGACCTGCCCCAGGTCTTAAGACTTATATGCCAGTCGTACGAGAAGATGCAAGAATATCTTCCTATCGAAGTGCCCAATATAAGACAGCAGAGGCCCTGACCTGCCATACAGCAAAACATAGGTTCAAAAGCAACAAACAACCCGACTGAAGACCCGCCCCAGGTCTTAAGACTTATATGCCAGTCGTACGAGAAGATGCAAGAGTGACCACGGTATAGTGAGCTTATCGGCTGTTGCATAAACAGGGTATATTTTTTTTTATTGAACTGCTTTTCGCCTTCTCGAATAGGAGTGAAACTTACGTCGATGTAAATCTGTTCCATTTTAGAAAGTATCACTGCCACAACAGTGCCACTTTATCGTAATAGTTCTTTGGTTTCTTCATTGGGGTTCATACGAACTATGAATATCTATGTACTACATTTGTACAATACTTCCCGTTAAAAACCTGTGCCGCAGTGGCATACTAAATTTACTATAGCTCGACAGCCACACTTATAACATCTCTCTCTGTAGCCCTTTTTCAACACAATATATATTGTCTATCCAACATCCGCCACTTTCTGCACAACACATACGTGTTAATACAATCCTCTGTAGTGTGGGAGCACTCCTAAATGCATACAGGATGAGTGTGGTAATCGGCGGATAGCTTTGCAGTCGCTCCATTAGCCATACTCGGCTTTGATTCAAATACTCATGGCATCACAGACAACACTACAATTCATTTCGTCATGTTTATCTACTCTGTGCTTGGGTCTGCTGTTATAAAGGTTGGACGGTCTAAATGAACTACATGCTTCGAGCCTATTTATTGTTTACTGGTCGTAGTTTTACGGCTGTAAAACACTCGCGAGTGTACTTTTAAGGGTTTAATGGCACATAAGCGGTCGGTACCACCACTCTATTGCTCACTCTTACTCTTATCCTGTCAGTATCGAAACCTCAAGACACTCGCTCACCTAAGTCTTATCATCTCATCGATATAAGCAATACATATATAATAAATAAACAACATGATAGGCGAATGGCCACCGTACCAGCGTGCTGTCCAGTCTGCGCTGCTGTCGGCCGACAGAGGGTCTCCGTCCACCCCTTGTCGGCGCTGACCTTCAGCCAGGCTTCTGCAAACAAACATGAGGTGTCATTTTAGAGGGCTGTACCTAAGGTGCATCTCACCTTTAATCGACATAGCTGGCACTCTCGCAACGCGACAATACAATCGGCAGCCAATCTAGCGGCCTCATACCACCAACTACTCCTACATTCAGGCTCACGGGGATATCTCACTTTTACAATTGTTTCATCAGCCAATATAGCCCATGGAAGGAGCCGAAAATTGTTAATACGATATGCAAGACTATAATGACACGACGTTTCGACTCATCACGACATCTAAGGCTTTTACCTCGACGACGGCAACCTTGTCACATTTAAGAAGGGGGCCCAGGCCATCCCGAAAGCTCTGAATGACCACTGGCTGGACATCTTTCGCATTGCCCGTGTCTGTATCAAAACGAGCCACGGAAGTGCCAATGACAGACATGATGGGCTGTGCGATCACCTTCTTCGGGTGTAAGAAATCCCGCAACACACCTACAATACTCTTCAAATGCATCCAAGCTTAATTCGGCCGACCTGCCCCGACTAGCAGACAGGAGCCAATTAGTCTATTAGTTGTCTTATCGCGGCGGGCATAACACATTCCCGGTCCTTTCCGACCTAACGATGAAAGGGGCATACTTTTAAAGGGGGACAAGGACAATACATGTATATCTGCTATCTACAATAGGATCCCCTTACCAAACTAGCAACTAGTAAAACCCCCGGATGCAGGCTGATGAAGAAAAAAATTCCAGGACTGAAAGGACAAGGACACCAAAGAGAAAAAAAGGAGTTGCAGTCAGCGAAACGGTCTCAGCTAGTGTGAAAAAAGTGCTCGCGCTAGAAAGAGACGAGAAGAACGGGATTTGCTGATAACTTGGCTTAGAAACTTGGAAAGGGTTCAACTGGATTGGGTTATTACCCGTCCAACACGGTCTGACGTCTCGTAATTCAATGGCCTTGAGCAGGAAGCTCGTCTGTGGAACCATGACATTGCTGACAAACTCCGCATACATGGCTTCATCCAATCTGTAGCTGACGAGAACATTTGGCGACACAAAACTCGTGACACTATCCTTATTCTACACGTGGATGAAATCTTACGCTCATCCGATGCTGACTGGCCATTTACTATATTATCCACCAATTACATACTCACAAACCTCGGCATTGCTTGAAATATAGTTGGCCTCCGTTTTATACAGGCCCCTACTAGCGATAAATCCGTTTTCCAGGATGCCTAAATACACCTCATGGTTGCCGCTTTTGGCGTCGAGAATGTCCCCCCCCCCCAGGCTCTAACACTCACCCTGGCGCATCTACCGGCCCTGAAATTCGCGGCAAGTACCGCAGCCTCCTTGGTGCCCTTGGATTCGCTGCAAATACGACCAAAGTTGAGATCGCATGCACGATAAACCAAGAGTAAATGCTCTAAATATACATGGCCTACATGGGAAAGTCACCAAATGTACATACAGATTTACGGGTACTAATTCGCTAAATGTGATATTCAATTCCTTTCTGATTCTCAGATATATGTCAAAAAAAAGTTTAAAAAGTACATTTAGACTTTTTTTATGTACATTTAGTGACTTTCCAATTCTGTAAATGTTTTGATGACACCTGGGTTCGACGCAAAAAAAAAAGTGGTTTTTCTATTTTTATGTGGGCTGGTCAAGAGTTAAATAGTGGTCCCCCAGTCGCTAATTAAGTGACAGTGGTTGAAGGAAACGAACGTTCCTGTGCCACCGGCCGTCAAGGCAATACTGAGTATGGGACCGCGAAAGAAGCAGAAATGGCGTAGCTCGGTGAAGAAGCGGCCAGCTAGGAAGTCGGCAGGTGCTGCGATTGCGATGCAGCAGTTGGTGGAGATGGGCCAGTGGGAGGCGCCAGAGGTCAGCCTTGCGGCTTTTATTGACTTCTCCACATTTTCAATGTACATCTAGCGACTTTGTTTTTAAATTAACTAGCTGCATTTAGCCGTGCTCCCTTCAACAACGCTCTGATGCTCATATCTGTGTGCTTCTTTATCTTGCTGCTACTTCTACATTTGTTCTAACCTACCGACATGCGGCCCCCGACCAAACTCTGGACTCCGCTCTCTTGTTGTACAGTGATTCCGATCGGGTCTCTTGCCCGAAAACTCGGAAAGTTCATACTTGTATACTAATCTGCTTCAACTATACTACTATATTCTGGCGATCACATAAACAAAGAAAAGGTACTCATCAGTTCAGGGGAGTAGGCGTATATTGCCGGCTCCGAGACCACGCGTTCCATTGCGTGGATACGAAATGTCATGCACACGCTCGGTTATGCGCTTACATTGCCTACTCGCCTATATATAGATAATCAAAGTGCGATTAAGATCGCACTGAGGACAGACAAGCCTAAAGGTCTCAAATATATAGACATATGCAGTCACTATATAGGTGACTTTGTTCGTACTGGTATGATTGATCATAAATACATATATACCTATGACAAACCCGCTGATCATCTCACCGAAAACCTCGGACGTTTTAAATGTACCTATTTTCGAGATATGCTTGTGACAGATCAACCGACATAACTTGGTGACATGCCCAGAGTTAGAGTTCAAGGGGGTATTGGCTTTTAGGGTTTCTATTTTAGCAGAATTCCAAACTCATGAGGGGTTTCTTACCTACCGGGGTTTCTGTCCAAATCAGCATGGTAACCTCTCAACCAAATTTACGTCTTTATAAATTATAAATCACTGACAGGATTTGAAATAAAGACTAGTTATGGATCCGATGTTCCGAAATACTTATTCGAACGAATTTTCTAAAAGTAGCGAGTATAGAAAAAGTGGAACATCCCAAAAGGACCTATCCCTGCCACCACCACTACGTCATTTTATTTTATTTGTAATCTTGAAGGGTCACATGGCTCGGCACGTTATACAGCGTAATATACGCGTCTATCCAACATACCTAGCAACATGTATTGAAGTCAGTCAAACCATCGCCGTCAAAGCATACAATCATATCAGGATCCTAAGTGATAAAATCATGTGACGACGGTATTTGGAATAAGATGAGACTCATATTTTCACGCCAGGTTCCATCTAGGCATGTAATTTGACTACAACTTTCTTCCTCGAGTGGGGTTTTCTACAGCTCTTAGTCACCATATCAACAGTTTGCCGTATTCTCTTCTGTAAATATGTAGTAAGAATATAGTAAAAAGGTGAGCTTGATATTGATATACGGGCATGCACATCCGTCAGCATGCATCATTTGCACCCTCACATCACTCGCATGCACATACGAACGAAAGGCGCACAAGACAAATATTCACACATGATAATGAAATGTACCCGAAGGAGTATATCAGTGTTCAAATCGGAGTTCTCGTCGTGTAATCGTATCTAGTTGAGTTCCGTTTGACTGACTGATTCTTTCAAGTATATCTGCGGTTTGCTAAGCAAGCTTCACAAAGCCTTTAGCGCCGCTTTCCATTTTATCGGCAATAGTCTTGCCACCTCTCTTTAGTCATTCTTTGCTACGCATGCATGGCATCGTCAGTAATATCTTCGACTGTAAGAAGGAACGTATTTATTTTAAAGATATACGAATTCGAAACATGTTGCAGCGGTTTTTTCTCTCTCGTAATTTGAGGCAATACCCCTTTTAGAAGTATCGATAAGCATCTTCAAACCATCCAACTTATTCAATTGGTTCCAGATCGGCTATTACACTTGCAGTATATGAACACATCGCGGCTCTCATCTCGCTGCGCATTCTCACGTTCATCTTCATCCTGCTCCTGTACAGCTGTTATTTACGATACCCGAGACTACTGCTGCCCATGACCTGACTGAGGAGCCTGCCTACTACTTTGCTGGGAAGCTCGCTCACTCTCTTTATCTTCACGATCCAAATCGAGCCCGTATATTTTAGGAACATCATTCAGCGCTTTGACAGCGCCTCTCACTTCGCTGACTATCATGATCTTGTTGTCTATTCTAGGCTACTGTATTCTCAAAATATCTTCTTCAGGTTCTACTTCTCAATATCTCTTCTTCAGGTTCTACTGATCCAGCGTATGTCAGCCGGGTTTACATAAAACACGCTCTCTTACTGCCGTGGCTCTCGTCTGAATTGATACACATGGTGTGCATTTGTGTGCTTTTAGCATTGATTAGCCGCTGGACAATCAAAATGTACACCCATTCAAGGATATATTTAATTGTGAGTTGGGTTGTTCAAAAAGCAGAGTGAAATGCTCTACAGTTGGCATATCTGATACATATATTTCAACTTCATTGCCAGATACTCTACATTCCATGCTTGTGTTTGTATCAGTAGTGCCCTAGTTATTTTGTTGTTTGTTAATAATAGTGACCTTGCTACTTGTCGGCTCATTGGAAGTGTCTTCGTTACTTCCCTGCTTGTTGCTATTGCTTTCATTGCTTGTCTACTCGTTGATATGGTTTTTGGTACCAGTGTATGCAATAACTGTGCTTGGGAACAAGTGCTTGTGGTACTCGTGTGCGCATTAACTGTGCTTGCTATACTTGAGTGTGAGATGGCGGCGCTATGTACTTTTTGTACTTGTATGTGAATAGGCGGTGCTTCCTGCACCTTTTTATTCGCTGTGCTTTTTGTAATAATGTATGCGTTATACGTGCTTTCCATTCAAGTGTATACGTTATCTGTACTTCTCATACTTTTGTGCGTGTTAGTAGTGCTTTCGGTACATCTATATACGCTAGCAGTACTTTATATACTTATGCATTAGCAAAAAAAAATTGTACTTGTGTGCGCGTTAGAAGTGTTGTCGGTGCTCATATGGGCGTTAGTTGTGTTGTCGGTACTTGTTTGTGCGTTAGTAGTGTTGTCGGCACTCGTGTACACATTAGCAGTGCTTTCCGTACTATTATTTACGTTAGCAGCGATCTTTACGATTGAATAGGATATGAAGGTGCTGTGGACTTGTGTATTAATTGGTGTGCGTTGAGCTGTTGATGATACCGAATTCAATGCTTGTGTTAGATTAAGGTGAATACCGTCATTGTGTGTGTTTTGATTTGTAAGATTTCTTTCGTGGACCGAGCTCATGGTGCAAGTGGTACTCTCTGCAGTGTGTATTAATTGGTGTGTGCTGAGCTGCTGATGATACCGCATTGAATGCTTGTGTTAGATTAAGGTGAATACCGCCATTGTGAGTGTTTTGATTAACACGTAATCCTTCGTGGACTGCGCTCATGGATGTAAATACAATTATCTGCAGTTTTTCTCTAGTTGAACACTATCATTCCCTAAGAATTAATTCCGCGGACCACCAACTTGTGGTTGATGTCCATATTGAATTTCGTCGGTACTCACGTCCATATCGATTCTCTGGCTTGTTATCCCTTGCATACGTCTCGATTACGTATTGTTCTCGGAATTATTGCAAAGATGCATATACATCACGACTCAATCTGGCCGTGTGTGTAGTATCCGACACGACTGTGACTTGACGGTTCGTGGTTGTTATAGCGTCTGACTGTGCTTCCTTGTATTTCTTGTATATATTTACGCAAACCTAAGTATGTATTCGAATCTCTTAAATCCGAATCGAACGTAAATTTTCGGAGAGGTATTTTGGCCCTCGAATTACGATTGAATGGGATATGAAGGTGCTGTGGACTTATGTATTAATTGGTGTGCGTTGAGCCTAATGCCCATTGATCCATGTCGATGATCACTCCCAGATGAGGTAAGCATCGAGTGGGTGTATCACATACACCCTTGCCCACTGTAAGTACCAGACCCAAGCTGATCACCACTCCATTGACCGCGTCCCAATGAATAATAATCATCTCTCGGTCTGCAGCGAGAATTAGATCGTTCGAGTATGATATTATTCTTATGGACATCTAGCGCACTTTGCGACGAAATACATCCATGAGTGTGTTGAAACATGCCGGACTGAATGTGACTCCCATTGGAATCGCTAGATACTCGTACAGATTTCCCTCCGGATCCCGAAACTGAAACAACTTTGGTGTCCGGATTGAAGTCTGCACTCATGAGCATATCCGTCGGACGCAGAACATCTGATAGCATGTTCAACCCCTTCATACGGAACTTTGGGGTTTCCGAGGCATTGTTCGTCGTCGTAGGCGACAGTATCCATCGACATAACTGAGGACTGGGCTTCGGCACGGAAAAGGAGTTATGTATCACAAATGCTCGAGACTCTGGAATTCGTCGTACGTACCGCATGCGCGCCAACCGGTTTCTGTGCTACTGCTTTGAAAATTTCCTGGATTCAGCAAGTGGCGTTCTGTTGTCGTTGGCTGCGGCGGCCCGTTTGGATCCCGCGGCACGGGTACACCATAGCACTATTGCGGATATCCTTCAATATATGCACATAACAAAAATACGTATACACGCGCGATTCACTACCTGGTAGGGTTATGTACGGCGTGATTAGCTTGTCGTAAGCTGATTATTGGAGTCTCCACTGCTCTTCAATCGGCACTATATTCTCGCTAGGTCCATATTTGATCGCCATCCTGCCCAATACGTTTCTGTTTGGTGCTGCACCATCAGCTACGATGGCTAGTGGAATTTGACATCTGAATTCCTGTTGCAAATTGTTTCGCTAGATGCTTAGCCGTGGGCGCGCACACGGGCACAGCAAGCAAAGTATTGTGTTCGGCGCTGGTATCACCAGACATTGTTACACAACTTACATGTGATGCGGGTGACTTGGGATTATTGTGTGCTAATCCAAGCACCTGACTATTCTTGTATTGCAACAGCCATTTACTGTCGATATTGTCAGCGTGTACATATCTATATCGATGGAACAATGCGGCCTTCTCTTTGTCCATTCCACGTTGATATTTATGACTGTGACCATTATCAGCACTTATGTTTATCAGACGTCGTAATACTTGTGTATGGGTACTATCTAGATCTAGTGATGCTATGGAGTCTATTGGCAGATTCGTTTCTTCGAATAGCTTT